CACATTATTTATTATATATATATATAGTATATTTATATATATAAATATATAATATATATGTATTATAATAATATATATAATAATATATTATAATATTATAATAATGCATAAATATATATATACATATTATTTATTATATATATTATATTTATATATATAAATATATAATATAAAAGTGTAATAAATTTAATATGATATAATAAATAATGCAAGTTTCATTGCAAATAATTAGTCGGTAACAATGATCTACAAAATTCTATTCAATTTTTAAATTCAATGTGAATTTTATCGCGTACAATTTGCTACAAATGAGTGAGCTTTATTTGCAAAACGTTGAATCTGATTTGCAAACAGGTCCCGTCTTCGAGACTTTGTCCCTTGAAGTAATCAATTGCACAAGTTTCACGCAGTATGTTTTCTCTCCGACGTTCTCTTCGTCATAGTCGTCCCAGAAATAGGATACCTAAAGGGCACAGGGCGTTTCTCGATAATTAGATTCTGCGAACGACGCGTCCCTATAAAACCTTCGCTCGAATGAAACAACAAAACAGATTACCACTTTTACTCCGTCGGAGTCATTAGTGAGCTGCGTAGTTTTATGCAAATCCATGTTTTTAGGGATTAATTGACGAGAGCAGATAAGAGCTTGCCCGGTGCAATAAACGTTTCTCTTTCGCATGGCGGAATGATAAATTGGTGATCAGCTTCGTTGAGGTGTTTTATTGGAATTTCAACTTCGCGCGACAGTTGCACGTGCATGGTGCAGCAGACGTACGATGTTACATTCACGGAATATGCTACAAACGCAGCAGATGTACGATGCTGCGTTTACATAATATTTGTGCCACGAATGCGGCGTGTTACGGTGAAAATTTATTCATTCATAATACAGACCGGAAAGGAAATTCGGTGTGAAAATTAATCCTCAAAATTTAGTGTCGGCTGTAATTGAATCGATGACACCGTCGCGTTTCCAAGCTAAATATCAATATCTCCCGGTTAATGATACCAGTTAAGAATGAAACGAACGAACTCCGATCGTAGCGGGTGTTTCATTAACATCGCGGATTGCTGTTACCAGGTAAAATGAACCGGAGCAGTCGGGAAAGTGACGGAAATACCGGCTTCACAATTATTTCGCGATACGATGATGTCTAGCGGTGCCGTTTCGCATTACGTTTCAGTAATTTCGACGTTATTGATGTCAATACCGATGGTATTGCGAGTGCCGCGCAAGCGGAATAATCGGCGCACAATTGCGGCGGACAGAATCCAAAATTGATTGGGTTTCGGATATCAACAGATTGACGGAGATCAATTTATTACGAGTTTTGTTAGAAAATTTGCACGCACGCTGGGAACCCAGGTAATGCCGAATATAGCGCGCGATACGGAAAACATCGTAACGTCTTGACAAAGGAACAAGAAACTCGGAACGTAATTTTCTACAAGATAATTAGAAATATAAGATGGCTCGGGTTTCTTGTTGTAAAACATTTATTATGTCACGTCGGAGTTGGAAATTATTCGGTTGGAAATATATTAATATTTATCTAAATATTAATATATAATTAATATAATAAATATTAATATATAATTAATATAATAAATATTAATATATAAATATATCCATCGTTGAAGCCGTTTCTTTTCCGGTAAAATTTGTAACTTCTTGTTGGAATACGCCATGGAACACGCCATTTGAAACATGCTCAAACATTTCGAATTAAAACTTGTTAGTTATTATGCTGTATCGAAGGTTGTATGTAGATGATGATGATAACCGTGATGCACGATGCTTATTTCGCTATGAGATAACTACAAAAGTTCCGTCGGAACACGGGGGATACAGCGCTTCCGACATATTATTCGCATGACTGACGTAGAAGGCTGTTGTAAATTCTGAAAAATGAAATGCGTTCGTTCGTTTATATCGTCTGATTAACGGGCATTTATTTCTGACAACGAGTGCAAGGTTTCTTCAATCGGTGTTTACGAAGTAATTCGATCAAATACTTTTGGGAACATTAGTTTGTATTTATCTTGCTATGTAACAGCGAAAATTAGTGTGCAGATAATTTTATTGGTGTCATAATGAAAAAAAAGAAAAAAAAGAGTCCTATAGGATCCTAAAGGATCAAGCAGGATTTTACTCGATGTTTTATATCTTGTAACTTCCGGTTGGATCGCGCGACTTCTCCGTTCCGTTCTGTTCCGAGCATGTCAATTAATCCACACGTATTGTTAAATATATTAACACTTCGTCTAACGGTAGAGTTGTCTAATAGTATGTTCAAAATCGGAGGTCAACGGTTAAGAGTTTCTTAAAAAGTCGTGTTCAAAAGCTACGATAACCTCGTCAATGATCCATCAAATTATTTAGATTAGTATAATGTAACAAGTACTCTTGAAGTTATTATTTAACAGAAAATTATCCAGCTTCTCTTAGACACAGTTCAGTCATTGAAAAATCTATAAACACGCTTCCGGCGAATTAAATGTTTGTTAATTGCTTAAAATAGTTCCTTAAATAAAATATAAGAATTTACGATAGGAATAACAATAAATGGTACGCCTTTTCTACCAAATAGAAAGCGACGTGTCCAACAATGATTTATTGATTCCACTTTGTCCAAAGAAAAAGAAAGTCTCTTTCCATGATTCGATTCATTAGTTTGGTATTACAAACCTCTAGGAACTCTGATTACCTTATGGTCAAAGGAATGCGAGGAATATTTAGCGATAGGTACCGAAATCTTAATAATAAAGAATTTACGATAACGATAACAATAAATGGTACGCCTTTTCTACCAAATAGAAAGCGACATGTCCAACAATGATTTATTGATTCCACTTTGTCCAAAGAAAAAGAAAGTCTCTTTCCATGATTCGATTCATTAGTTTGGCATTACAAACCTCTGGGAACTCTGATTACCTTATGGTCAAAGGAATGCGAGGAGAATTTAGCGATAGGTACCGAAATCTAGTTACAGCGATTCGCCAAAGCCGGACCTTCGGACAAGAGTTTGTAGAACGTTTTGCGCTGCATCTTGCCCGACCTCGACAGAAATATTCACCATCATGCTGAATAACGATAAGCTGTACGTAACGACGCGTGTCAAACAAAGTTGCGAAGACGATTAGCAGATTCGTTGTCGTCGTGTGCTCGCTAACAATCTCCAATGTGTACGTAAGGATTTTAAATAACAACCGGCACTGATGAAGAATCTTATCAATCTTTTTAACCTCGATCATTTACAAAAGAATGTTACTTTCTTTCTAATTAAAATGGATTTACGATTAACTATATGTACATGTATACTTTTTTTCCACGATCAACAAGGTAGCTGTTTTTGACGAGTGCACTCGTTAACTGGCTAGGAAGGATACATTCATATTTTTATATTCTTTATTGAATTATATATTTTGTGTTTTAGAACACATGTTGACTATTTTTCTGCAGTTTCATATTACATGCAACTTTCGTCAAAAACTAGAAGGAGTTGCTTGCGTGACAATCTTTGTGAAAAAGGATCCGCCTTTTCGATCGTAAAAATGAAAAGACTATAATTACCGAACGTCCAGTTAATTGTATTTTGATGGCAACTATAGTCATCTCTCAAAGTGCTTGCATTAATTGGCAGCTTCAATTACATTAGGAAAATTAGATTATTCTGGCGTGTGTATTATATATATATATATATTTGTTCGCAGTTATGCATCCATTTGAGGCAACTGCCAAAGGGATCGCATGATGCAATATTATTTTAGCAATAATTGCCTCACATACGACAAGAAAAGTATTTACAAACATAATTTGCTTTTGATCAATTCTTAGATATTGTTCGAAGATAAGAAAAATTAATCTCATCTCAGTAAAGGATTACTTGACCACAGATTAATTCTACAGATCTATAGCAAAAATGGATCAACAAAACACAAAGCAGTGAAAAGCAAACAAGAATGTCAAAATTTTTTCTGTTGCATCTGTTTCGTTGCGTTAACATATCCGTTCATGCGTATTCGCTATTCATTTCGAACACCGTATATAGCACGATATTTTTAGCTACAGTTTTTACTAAAGAAGAAGAAGAAGAAGGAGAAGAAGAATCTAATAGCATCATACGTATATATGTATAGTAATGTCTCTTTAATTGACGCTCAGATCATGCACAAAAATGGAAAATTTGGGAAGAGGAGATACGATTATTCGACTCTTGCAGCTCGTTTTTATAGTTGTTGACAATTCGTAACTATAAAAATGAACCGCAAGGATCGAATAATCGTATCTCCTCTTCCTAAATTGTCCATTTTTACGGACGATCTGAGCGTCGATTAGAGAGACATTACTCGTGAGCTATTGGGTTGGCAACTAAGTAATTGCCGATTTGTTCAATGAAATAAAAAATTCTTTTTTACTTGGAATGAAGTTTAATCTGTAATGTATTTTCCATTTTGTTCGATGACCTTTTGCCACCTCTCTGACAACTTGAAAATTCCACGCTCGTAGAAAGTCTGATCCTTTTCGGCCAAAAACTGAGTTATGTGAGATTTTACAGCGTCATCGTCATTACAAGTTTTACCACGAAGGGAGTTGTCCAGGGATCGAAATATGTGGTAATCCGATGGCGCGAGATCAGGACTGTATGGTGGGTGTAACATCAATTCCCAACCAATATCCATGAATTTTTGCCGAGTGGACAAAGACGTGTGCGGCCTAGCATTGTCCTGCTGGAAAATGACACCTTTACGATCGACCAATTCTGGTCGCTTTTCCTTGACCGCTGCATTCAATTTGTCCAGTTGCTAACATTCACGGATATTAAAAAAGTAACATAATAATAATAATAATAATAATTTTATAATATAACATTTACGGATATCATAAAAATGGGAGTGAGAGACATCTATAACTGAAATCGGCAATTACTTAGTTGCCAACCCAATACATCCACGCATCGTGCGACCTTTTTGGATGCATTTACTGTTCGTTCGCAATATTTTTGTCACGGCTGATAATTCGCGAATAATTTAAACTGGCGGGGTAACGAGGCCGACGAAATAATGATTTGAACGTAATTCCAGGTTAATTGACATCGTGGAAGGAATGCCAGACCCGACGTTGGCCGGGAAGGTAAAGTCGAAGTTGATTAAGAGCCCGATGGAGACGGTGAAGAGCATCGCGTCGGAGGTGAACGAGCTTGCCACGATATGCCACGGTCATTTTTCACACGATAACCTTCTGTTCAAATACCAGAACGGGAAACCGATCGACGTGAAGGTAATCGACTGGCAAACAATGCGGTACTGTTCACCGGCCGTCGATCTTGGACCCATTCTACTGTATAATATGAAGTACGAGAACGGACCGTCCGAACTTCAGGAGATGTTGACGGTTTACGTGGACGCAGTGAAGTCCGAGTATCCGGAGATAGCCGGTGAAGGATTGAGGGAGGATATCGTCGACAAGCTTCTGTTTGCCTGTCTCATCTTATCCTTCCAGGAACACATCAGCGACGACGAACTCGCGCGGATCATTCAAGAAGCGGAACGATTGAACATCTTCGACTGAACGAGTCAGCATCTTCGGTTTGAACGATCAAAACGTCTTCGATCGATCCTTTAACGCTTCGACTGCCACGCCACAGCCTCGACAATTTCATAATTTTGTTTATTCAAATCGAAATTGCTTAATTCAGATTGAAAACGTTTTGCGGATCTCCTAATCGAATTGGGAGAATGTAATAGATTAGCATAAAAAGTTATTTACAAATCTCGGCAAATAATTCAGTCACTTATTTACATATATATAATATATTATATATAATCTATTATATATAATCTATTATATATAATATATTATATATATGTAAATAAGTGACTGAATTATTTGCCGAGATTTGTAAATAATTTTATATATATGTGTGTGTGTGAGTGACGCAGCAGTCAAAGCGTTAATCTTAACTTTCGACCGTCCCTCGTGTCAATTTTGTACACTTTTCACGGTTTTTGGGAAATAGTGGGAAAGTGACCTATC